CACACACACACACACACACACAGACACGTCTCGCAGCCACCGATACACACCAGTCTCTCATACGTGGGGATTACAGACACATGACAAACCGCCTCCCGCGTGCACGTGGACACACGCGCGTGCAGATCAACCGGCTTGCAGATGCTTTTGTTTACAGATGGCACCGAGAAACATGCACGTTTGGATTTAAGCAAATTTGCACACAAATGCTTGAACAAATGTCCCCGTGCAAACGCTTCTCTTAGTAAACACAGGTTTTAAGCCAGACTTTCAAACTCTCAGAATCTCTTTAAACGCAGACAGAAACATCGATCAGAAAGACATTTTCTTTCTGTGTCACTTTTAAATACTAAAATCCGGTCTTTAAATCTTGGCACTGGGTTTGTTTTAAAGGGGAGAGAGGCTCTACTAGTGTGCACGTGAGTTTAAAAAAAATAATAATAAATGCAGGAAGGTAAAAGGCTCCCCTTTGGTACCTGGCGTGTGGACGAAGTAGGCAAGGTAGAGATCCAGCTCCTTGACCGTCACGCCGATGTGGTGCGGCTGGACGCACAGGCCGTGGTTGGAGCACTGGGGCGACTTGACCAGCCGCTCGCCGTCCGTGCTCTCCAGGGGGCTCCCCTTAAACAGGATGACCATGACCAGGTCCAGCCGCCACACCTTGTCGGCCTGGCGGAGGCAGTCGATGCGGCGGATCTTGCCCTTCTGGTCGGGGTTGGACAGCACGCAGCAGGGGGGCTTCTTCCCCGTGATGGTGAGCACGAAGTCCTCGCGGAACTCGGGCCGGATATCCTTGCGGAGCTTGGCCAGCAGGCGCGAGGCCCACTTCTGCTTGATCTCGGGCTTCTCGCCCAGTAGCTCGTCCTTCACGGCGCGCTCCTCGTCCTTGCTCATCCTCTTTTCGTGCTTCTTGAAGTACTTGCGCTTGCGGGCCTGCAGGTTGAACCAGGTGTAGGAGAAGGCACGGACATGTGGGAGGAGGGCTTCAATGAAGGGATGAAATTCATCCTGACGAGAGAGGAAAAAAGAAAGGATGTTTGAAAGCTAAACAAAGACTTTTCATTTGAAAGAGAGCACCTGATTTCGAAAAATGGGGCTGTTATAAAATTACATTCAAATATAAAACACAGTGATGATAATGCTATTGGTTAAAATATTTTACAGTTGTAAAATAATTAAAATTCGTCCAAAAATGTACAATATTACATCTAAAACGCGAATAGTCACACAAATGTGTAACATTTAATAAAAAAAAAACATGCAAACATGCAAACACAGAAAAATGAATTTTAAATGAAAAGCTGAGCCAAGTTGCGCTCCCAATTTTTCTGCTGTAAAAAAACAAAACAAACAAACAAAAAAAAAACCCAGTAACACAAAGTATTCTGCAGTACCCATAATACCTTCACTACATATCTTTGGGCAACAAAGCCCAAATCTCGCCACAGCGTTCCTGTGCCAGAGTTGCCACACATCGGCCGCTCGCCGCCACCAAGCTTTGCCGCCACTAGACCGCTGTTGAAATGCGCTGCTAAAAGATCAGCCATAACATTTCCTAACTCTGCTACCATGCAGGGGGGGAGAAAAAAAAAACGAGGGAGCTCCAACCGGACTCACATTTCCACAACAAACTGAAAGCAGACAGAAATCACCACAGAAAACCACAYGGCAAGAGGAAGACAGACGGCCTGGTAGTTACCATTTTGCACTCTCATCATAAATTTGGCACAGCCTTTAAAGTGAAAAAAAAATCTCCTGCACCAGTTTTTTTTTCCTCTTCCCTTCCTGCCTCGCTCCCCCCCACCTCTCAAATGTAAAGCAGGAGCTGGTTTGGCAAGGAGTTGAGAATTAGCAGATAAAAAAAAAATACTTGGATGAACGGTGTAAAAAAATAATTAGCAGAAAAGGCTGTTCGCTAAAAGCGATGGGGCAAAGTTTAAAACGAAAACAAAAAGAGCCAAAAAAAAATTTTACTGCTGGCCAACCATGGGCAGCAGTGCAATAAGCAAAATCTTGGAGCACAAAAAAAAAAAAAAAACTAATAAAAATAGTGACAGTATTGAACTCTGTTAGAAAA